ATTGTTTTTTTTTTTTAATGTTATGAAGCGCTGAACCTGTGTAGGTTATTCAGCGCAAGGTAGACACTTGACCCTTCATCCTCTAATTTTGGCCCCCACTCTGATCTGAAAAGCTTTTCCATTGAAAAGTTGGGCAATATCTGGCTACCTTTGCTGCATTAAAAAAAAAAAAAAAAAATCATTAAATAATTCGGTAACATGAAAAAAATATATATATAGGTTAGTGCAGTGGTAAAGATAATTTTAAAGCATGAAGTTATAATCTAGCAGTAAAGGTTAAGTGAATCTTGGTGCATACAATAGGATATGTAACGTTGGATGACCCTCTTGGACTCTGTACATTGTGTGTTGTCATGACATCTGATACCAAGGGAACAATATTTTTCTTGAGTGTGTTATTCTCTTAATGCAGCCTTCTTAGGGTTGTCATTAACATCTCTGTGACCTGCACTAAATCTCAAGACTTTGTCAAACAGATTGATCCACATTTTTCTATTCATTTCTTATTGAATTATTACGCAGGACACCTGATTCTAAATACTGTGCCCCAGATTAAAGGACATTCGTGCCACTGAATTTCAGTTTACATATAGTATTGTACTATATTTGTATTATAGTACTAACCTTTTAATTATCAAATTTTCATCATATAAGATGTACCCTTAAACTGGACCCCCCAAATTTTTAGAATAAAAGCTTTTAATGTATGTTATCATACATGTACTCCATTGACACCACAATTACATGAGTAATATAAGACTCGGGGTGTTTTTTGGTGAATTTATTTTTATCTTATAATACAGAAAATGCATTACTTTTTTATAAAAGATACATTGATACCTCTTACCTCACATATGAATACTTCCAGCAGGTCTGTAGTCTTACATATTGGGATATTTCCCAGAATATTACTTCCAGCTGGGCATGAGTCTTGGAAATGGAGAATACAATGCCTGCACTCTAAAGAATAGGTGGGGATATTGCAGTTCAGAGTTATTTGAAGATATCTGAGCACTACTGACATGACAGCAGTTGAAAGAATGATGGTGACTGTGCTTCCTTTTTTTTTTTTTTTGTTTGGGTTACTGCTTTGTTGGGAAATGCCCAGCGTGGTGCAAAAAAAAAAAAAAAAAAAAAACTTGCAGTAGGTCTCGAGTTTCTTTACATTTATAGTATGGTTTCAATGCTTAAAAAACAATTACAGTAGACCAAATACATGAAAATCCTGAGACATACTACAACATCGATTTCAGTTTTAAAAAATGGAAAGACCCTTATCCATGGAGGCAGAAAGGGGAATGTACCAGACTATAGTTGTACAACATTGTTATGTGGGTGTGAAATAGAGTTTTTGAATGTCACGGCAAGGAAGAGGAGGCTAGAGGCAGTGGAGATATGTTTGAGGACAATGTGTGGTGTGAATATTATACAGAGAATTCAGAGCATGGAGATTAGGTGTGGAAGTTACCAGAAGTATTATTCAGAGGGTTAGGGAGGGGTTGTTGAGGTGGTTTGAACATTTAGAGGTGGAGAGCATTTACAGCTGTGGGTGGAGGTAAAGTGGGATAGAGTTCATCCCAAGAAGGTGGGGAGGGTAAGGGAGGGTTTGAATTTTAGAGCCTTAGACATACAACAGGCTGGTGTGAGCAGCAAATTAGATAGGCTTGAGTGAAGGCAAGTGGTTTATACGATTTGTCGTGTTCTTGGTGTGAGCAGGGTAACATTTATGAAGGATTCAGACTTGAGTCAGAGACAGGAAATACAGTGCCAACATTTTGAAAGAGGAGTAGGAATATTGCAGTTTGAAAGGTCATCTGAGCTGGTGATTGAGTAAATGATGGTGAAAGTTTTTCTTCTTTTTTGGTCTACCCCTACCTTGGTTGGAGATGGCCTGTATGTTAAAAAGTAAGTGAAAACTGAAAATACATTTGTAGGAAGACAGGAGATGAACAGGGCTATGATTACAATTAAAAGAAAAAAACAAGAATATGAAAAAGTAGATGGAATGATTTCTGGAAAAAGCATTAGGGAGAGCATGATGCCAGACTTATAAATTAAAAGAAATATATAGTACATTATGGCTGTTTACATTGTCCGATCTTCAATTTCGATGATAATTACAGGCAAATTTGTGCTTACCCTCGTATTGACCCAACTGAATTACTACAGTTGACTCAACAAATGCATGCATAGAATTTGTTGCATGTTAATGACATTAAGATTTTTATCACAAATAGTGGTGAACAGCTGAAATGGGCTCTGGAAATACAAATGTTTCTGATATACACTGGATTCTTTGAAAATATTCTAAAAAAATTGAGTGCTATGCACCTGGGGAGCATATGACATTTCATTGTTTGTCAATAGTGAGGTATTCAGAGTGGAGTCAGAATAAAAGGAATATTTAGTGGGATATTTGGAGTGGAGTCAGAATAAAAGGAATATTTAGTGGAATATTCAGAGTGGAGTCAGAATAAAAAGAAAATTTGAAGAGAATTGGGTATCTTTCTATTACAGTGTGTAAAAAAAGAGCAATCCACCATGCTGCAGAATCCAGCACACACAAGTCTCTCTACATACTATAGTGTATAGAATGCAATAATGTGTAAGGTTATTGTACCAAGAGCAGCACTGAGTCACCTACACAGGTTTAGCATTTTTTTTTATTGTAATATACCAGGCTTGGTACAATGGCAAGGATGTTTATCATTGGAATTTTGAACTCAAGAAGTACACTTATATCCGGAAAGAAATTTTAACTAATAGCACCAGTATATTTTGAAGCTTGTAATGCACACATTGTAAATATGAAGGTGGTGCTGTATGCCATATCCTGAGCCTTGTCTATTTGGAAGAAACAGAATAGGCTGCATTTTGGATTTAGAGCTGCGTAAAAGTTTACTTCTGTCGAGTATTCATAAGAGTTGCAGTGGAAGCTGCCTCACACTTGTACAAAATATGGTTCAGACTGTAACTTGTGATCTCACTGATTTGATCCCAATATTGGTCCAAGCATTACAGGACATGCTAGCAAAGGTCAAGCTATCACATATAAATAATCCATTTAATTATACTTAATGATGTAGATTACTGTTGAAATAAATCATTCTCACAATCATGGATATTCATATTATTATACTGTATATCAGTCCATTTACACTTTCTATAGTCTATACAGTACTACAGGTAATTTAGTCTTCATTTAAATCAGTTACAGTACACACAGTATTCTGTATCACTTTTTGATCGTTGTGCATCACAGATTTATATAGAAGGCTAACATTGTTACCTCTCTGACAGACTCGCACACGGAAACATCAAGTAACAAGTAGATTGATTAGAAGTGATAATTTGAATATAAAGGCAAATTGCTGTGTCAAATACAGTTTACATTCTACTTGTTATTTATATATATAGAACTTTGTGCTCTATTCAGTCTCTTATACTTGCACAGATTTTCAGTGTATTTCAGCATTTCTGTGTTCTTTGGTTATCAACTTTTATCCCCTACTAGTTAAATTCTTTGGCAGAATTATTACATCTCTAACAAATGTAAAAGCTCGATCCAAATAATGAACTGCCAATAACGGTAAAGAAAATACAAAGATTGCAGAATAAATTTTCTTCAGGACAGAGTTCTACACAGAGAGGAAAATTGTCCCAATAAATACTTTTTCTAACACCTGCATTTTTTCTTTAATGTAAAATTTGTTTGATTTTCTTTGTATACAGGACAGTTGTCTTTACACTATAACCATACTGTATATGATTCAAAGATTCACATCACATACAGTACTCACTATGACTTATTGTACTCAGTCTTTTTCCAGATTAATTTTTTCTCCATAGGGAAGTGGAAAAGAATTCTTCCTCCATATGAGGTGAATAAAATGATGTGAGCAAGGGGCTAGTAACCCCTTCTCCTGTATAAATTACTAAATTTGAAAAGAAAAACTTCGGTTTTTCTTTGTAGGTCACCCTACCTAGGTGGGATACAGCCAGTACATTAAAAAAATATATGAAAAGGTAGTTTTCTGCATATAATAGCTGAACTAGTAGTCTTTATACAGCTTCTTAGTTGTTGAATACATGCAACCTCAATATATGCATTTTGAGTGGCCTGTAATTCATTTAATTGATACTCCAGTTCACACAATGTGTTGGCCAACATATCCAATGTGATTTTTTCAAATCAGTTTGTGGTTTAGTGTTTATATATATTACTGTTTGTAATTTTATATTAATTCTGCTAAAGAATGAGGAAGTAACTGAACTAATGAAATATTTTTCACATGAAACAATTTTTTTGAAAGAAGACAGTAAACATAAATGAAAAGTACTTTTCTTGTAGCTTTTTTTTCACTAAATGCCCTCTAATACCTTTTCATCTTATTATAAGTTACGAATGCCTTTTACGTCATTTTTAGATCAGGTAGCTATTGGTGTTGTAGATAAATAGCTGTTAGAAAAAGCATGCATGAAAAAATAAAAGCCTTCTTAAGCTAATTTTGTCTCGTGTCACCACTAAAATATCTCTTAAATTTTTCTGCAAAACATGTTTAGTATATTGGTACTGATTGTCATTTACAAAACATTACAGCCTCTAGATTTTGTGCATCAAATAGGGTGAAATATGTGCCTTTGTGTGTATCTCAAATTAAGTTGTGCACTTACACATACTTCTTGATCCCAGGTTCACTTTTGTATATCTGTTGATCACTGGTGCACCTGTGTTCATCCATTGATCACTTGTGTATATCTGTTGATCACTGGTATACCTATGTGCATCCTTTAATCATTAGTACACCTATGTACATTCATTAATCACTTGCACATTTGTGTACATTCATTGATCTGGGGTGTCAACATTGGTACAAACACAGACAGCTCCTGATTATATGAGACCTGTACATTGTGATGCTGAATCCTGTGATTAAGTTTCTCTTTCTTATTGTTCAGATAAGAAAATGTCAGCTTTCTCTAATTTTATTCGTTTTTAGGAACCCTCTCGCTCAGATGGAGGAAGAAAAGAAGGAACACACAAACAGGATGAAAAAGATGGAGACAGAAATGGAGCAGGTGTTTGAAATGAAAGTTAAGGAGAAAATGAGCAAACTTACAGAATTGGAAGCAGATGTAAGTACATTTTATTTCTGAATGTCACTTGTAGTAAACTATATCAAATATTATAGAATTGTACTCTGAGGTAGCATAGGTTATGCACAAATAAAGTTTTGAGTAAACCACTTGCCAGGATGAATAAAATATTGTTATATTAGAATTCTACAGAGATTTTTCTCAGTCCTCCTTGGACTGTGAGAGTTGATATTGGTTTTGAATTAACACTCTTATTTTCTACTAATGACCAACAGTTACAAAAACGTAACGAGTCTATGCGTAAAAAACTAGAAGCTGATCTATCGGAATTGGATGAAGAACGAGAACGATTTGAACATGAGAGAAAAGCATGGGAGGCAGCCAATGGCATAACTGTGGAGGAGCTGCGTCGCAAGTCTCTCGAGTCCATCAGCAGAGAGTGAGTGACTTAGTTTGTATTGTGCTTTATTTTTTTTCTTTAGAAAAAGAGCTCATGCTTCCATACAGTAATACTTGCGTGTCTTGGCAGTATTCATGAGTAAGTAAAAAGTCAATAGTTTTAGCTTCAGCTTTGATGTCAGAAAATTTTTTGATCTTGCTATTTATAAAAGATTTTATCAGCTTTCAGTATGCAATGCATCCTTCATTAATCATTTTTTTTTTTTTATCATAACATCCTTTATGTAAAAGAATTGTTTTGCTTTATTATTTATTTTTCTTTGTGTCATTTACACACACATCTATGGAAAAAGTCTGAATGCACTCCTTTTGTAAAACAAATTCAAGGCCATGCAAGTTAATTTTGTAGAGAAATTACTGTTGCAGTATATTTCCATGAAGAATTTTAAGACTGTCCATTAGCTGCTTGTGAGTCTTTATGTGAGTGAGTCGGTTGTGATTTAGTGATTTCGTTAATAGCTCAGTTGTGTAAGGTGTACCTTTGATGAGTTCTAAGAGTTTTTCTACTCTCAGAGCCTGACCTAGGGCCAGGCTCATCTGGTGCTTCCCTGGCCAGCTAGTATGATTCATGTCACCTGTCATCTGTCATTCTGGTTTCTTCTTGAAGATTTCTGCACTTATCCCAGAAGTGTTTCTGATATCTGCTGATAAGATGTTGAATAGTCTGGAGCCATGGATGTTGATACACTGTTCCCTTATTGTGTCCATGGCACCCCTGCTCTTCACTGGGTTTATTTTGCACTTCCTCCTATATCTCTCACTTCATTATGTTGTTATGGCAATGTGCAGATTTGAAACAAGGCCCTCAGCTTTCCAGGTATATATTATGTATCTCTACTCCAGTGAGTATATATTTAGGATTTTAAGGTGTTTCCAGTTATTTAATTGCTTTATTGGGTCTATGCCGCTTTAACCCTTTGACTGTTTCGGTTGTATATATACGTCTTACGAGCCTCCATGTTTGGCGTATATATACTCATAAATTCTAGTGGCTTCAAATCAAGCAGGAGAAAGCTGGTAGGCCCACATGTGAGAGAATGGGTCTGTGTGGTCAGTGTGCACCATATAAAAAATCCTGCAGCACGCAGTGCATAATGAGAAAAAAAAAACTCCGACCGTTGTTTTTTTTTTTTTTTTTTTTTTTTTTTAATTAAAATGCCGACTTTGTGGTCTATTTTCGTATAGTATTTATGGTTGGAGCTCAAAGTAGGGGAAATGTTTGATTTTTACCGATGTTCAGAAGTAAACAAATGATGTCATTGTCCAAGTAGCCATTCTAATATACAGTCATGTATGAGTTGACATTATTAATGCAATTATTACAATATTGCAGTAGTCTGCATAACAGTAAATCTTCTATTTTTTGTTTGAATAAAAATTCAAAATAGAAAGCAAGAGTAATGTCAGAGGGGCCTAGAGATGTGACTGATGAACAAAGAAAATGTTATTTTAAAGCCAGGAATGTCTGCATTGTTCATTCTGGACCCTATTTTGAAATTGCCATATTTTTAATTTTCATGAAATTGGCCAAATTACAAATTTCTGACCATGTTATTGGGTAGGTTGAAATTGGTAAATGGGCTGTTTCTTGTACCCAGTCAATGGAAAAAAATGGAGTTCTAAAGAAATAGCTATGAATTTGGTCGACTGGAACAATGGAATTACCTGAAAATAGGGCTCAAAGTGGGCGAAATCTCTGATTCGTAAATATTGCCGAGGTTGCTAACTTCGCGAGAGCGTAATTCCGTCAGTTTTCTACCAAATTTTGTTCCTGTGGTGTCATTACTATTGGGAAAAGATTCTCGATCATTTCATAATTTTTTCCAACACCAGGAGACATCTCAGGATTTGGGGTTTCGACAGTCAAGGGGTTAATCTATCTTCTGCCCTGAACTGGGCCATCAGCACTGAGCAGTATTTCAACTGAGACAGCACAATCAATTTGAAGTGTCACCACTGGCACTATTTGTTTTGAAAGTTCAGATTACCCACCCTGTCATCCTCCTGTCTTATTATGTTCTTTGAAAGAAATATCAGCTGACTTAATAACTCCCAGGTCTTTCACATGTTCCTTTTGTTCTGTTTGACAATCCTCTTGAGTTTTGTATAGTGTCCATTTAGAGGTCATTTTTTTCCATACCTAAGCATTGGACGTCATGTTTTTATTCACAGCCAACTTGGAAACCCCTACTTATATCCTTCTGCAATTTTTCAGTGTCTTCTACTGAGGTGACTTTCAAGTTTATTTTAGTGTCATTTGCCAGTGTTGATACTGTGACGGGTGTTTTTATCTATCTGCTGTGAGGATAAGAAACAGCAGAGTTGCCAGAACAATGCCTTGAGGTACTGAGCTTTTTACCTCGCTGATATCTTCCCAGCTCCCCTCAGAGGTTCCTTGATGTTGATGAGGGGGCTCTTGATCTAATAGAATGCTTCAGTGGCTTGAATCAGCCTGAATGCCTTCCATTTCTCGAGGCACCGTATGACCCCCCTATCTGTTTAGTGCTTCCTCATTTTTTTTTTTTTTTTTTCAACAAGTCGGCCGTCTCCCACCGAGGCAGGGTGACCCAAAAAAGAAAGAAAATCCCCAAAAAGAAAATACTTTCATCATCATTCAACACTTTCACCACACTCACACATTATCACTGTTTTTGCAGAGGTGCTCAGAATACAACAGTTTAGAAGTATACACATATAAAGATACACAACATATCCCTCCAAACTGCCAATATCCCAAACCCCTCCTTTAAAGTGCAGGCATTGTACTTCCCATTTCCAGGACTCAAGTCCAACTATATGAAAATAACCAGTTTCCCTGAATCCCTTCACTAAATATTACCCTGCTCACACTCCAACAGATCGTCAGGTCCCAAGTATCATTCGTCTCCATTCACTCCTATCTAACACGCTCACGCACGCTTGCTGGAAGTCCAAGCCCCTTGCCCACAAAACCTCCTTTACCCCCTCTCTCCAACCCTTTCGAGGACGATCCCTACCCCGCCTTCCTTCCCCTATAGATTTATATGCTTTCCATGTCATTCTACTTTGATCCATTCTCTCTAAATGACCAAACCACCTCAACAACCCCTCTTCTGCCCTCTGACTAATACTTTTATTAACTCCACACTTTTTCCTAAGTTCCACACTCTGAATTTTCTGCATAATATTTACACCACACATTGCCCTTAAACAGGTCATCTCCACTGCCTCCAACCGTCTCCTCGCTGCTGCATTTACCACCCAAGCTTCACACCCATATAAGAGTGTTGGTACTACTATACTTTCATACATTCCCTTCTTTGCCTCCATAGATAACGTTTTTTGACTCCACATATACCTCAACGCACCACTCACCTTTTTTCCCTCATCACTTCTATGATTAACCTCATCCTTCATAAATCCATCCTCCGACACGTCAACTCCCAAGTATCTGAAAACATTCACTTCTTCCATACTCTTCATGAATGTAATAATAATAATAACAATACCTTCCCAGTTATGCCTATGGCCCTCTATTTTGTGTGCAATCACCCTATGATCACACATGCCAAACATTTTTGCAGAATCTGTGTATATAACATCTACATTTTAGTTTTCTTCCAATGCCTCTGTAATTCTGTCATATTGGTTTAGCATTTTTATAAGCATGATCTTTCCAATTCTAAAACCATGCTTGTTTGGGTTTGCCGTTCCATAAAGTTTGTAATTTGGCATCCCGTCACTCAAGTTTTTTATAATGTGGAATGTTAGGGCTACTGGTCTGTTGTTTTTGGCTAGTACTCTGTTACCTCCCTTATGCAAAGGACTTACGTCTGCATTCTTTAAGGTCTTTGGTATTTCACCTAGATCTAAGCTCTTTCTCCAAAGAATATTGAGGGATTGTGCTCGTGGCACTTTGCACTTTTTTTTTTATGAATAAGGAATTTTGTGAATCTGGTAAAGGTGTTGAGTGAGCGGGCATGTTTTCAATTTCTTTTGGAATTCTGTGAGATTAATACTAATGGCAGGTTAGTTGATCTACGTGGTCTTCAGATGGAGTGAAAAAGGTTTCTGCATTCTCCTCTCTGCTGTCATTTAGTGGGTTGCTGAACACCGACTCAAATTGGTTTTTTAGCATTTCACTTATTTCCTGCTCATCATTAGTATATGAACTTTCTCATATAAAGGGACCAATTCTACAGGTTGTTCTTAGCTTGGATTTTGTACATGAATAGAAATATTTGGGGTTTCTTGCAATATCCTGGATGGATTTTTATTTTGTTGGTGCTTCATATATTTAGTATGACAGCTGAAGTTTTTGCTCTAAATGGGTAATCTCTCGGTTAATATCTTTCCATCATTATAACATATTCACTAAGCAATTCGGCAACTCATTTTCTTCTTGCATACAATATTTTATGCTCATACAATATTTTATAACTCATCTTTTAAGTTTTCTCAGTGGTACATATTTAATACAGATCTTGTATACTTCTGTGCTCAGCTTTTCCAGGCACTGGTGAGGATTTAGGGTGCTCATGTCAGTTTCCCAGGATATGTCTGATAGTTCTTGGTTAATTGTTAACCTTTTTGCTTTGGCCTTCCCTAGAACTCTTATTGTGGATTAAAGGATAAGAGAAGAATCTGTTATCTACTGTACTTCAACATTCACATTCTTTCATTGCAGTTTTGCCATTTTCTTTATTTTTTCCTTGCAAATTTTTGTTGTCTTATACATTATAATGTTGTTTCAACACACTGGCCATATCCCACCGAGGCAGGGTGGCCCGAAAGGAAAAATGAAAGTTTCTCCTTTTAAATTTAGTAATACACCTACCATCCGACTTACGACCTGCTCGACTTACGACCACTCGACTTACGACCGTGTTTTTTATGCAAAATTTCTGGAAAATAAACAACTCTTTGTGTTGTACACAGTGTTTATCCTAAACCTTACAGTATAAAATACAGTACTAACAGCATAAAAAGTAAAGTAAAACA